AGAATCTTCTTTGTTTAAATCCGAATCTGGATGTGTCGACGCTTCTTTTTGCTTTCCTTTGAACCATTGATCCAATACCATCTGCGATTTATCCTCTTGCTCTTTTATAGTCTTTGTGCGTTTCAAAGGAAGTAATTCACCATTCTTGATAGCTTCTTTGATCAGTAATATGATAGCATTGACAACTTGTTCTTGAGCTGGAAAGCAATATCGCCCATTCAAATAAGTAGTGTCAAGATATAAAATATCTATTGGCGGATTATCAGGTTGTGCTATTGCTGAATGAAGCACTTGACGTGGACATGCCCGAACGTCACCAGTATGAAGGTATCGCTTAATTTTACCATCAGCAAATTTTGTTTTGAATAAAAATAATGCAGATCCCGGGCAACTGTGTATAAGTTTTATATAAGTGATATGATGTGAAATTGTTAAGCGTCGATAAAATATTCAAACTTACTGGTTTGCATCAATCAATGTGACTGTAGTATCAGTCTTATCAATGGCAACCTCTTCGTTCATAGGCAATTTTTGAACATATTGAGGTTTAACACGTAATTGTTGAATAACTAAATTACCAGTTACTGATGAACAATATATAGGTCCATGTGACCATTTTGAGGATAACCCAATATAATGGTCGGAGTGGAAGTGACTAATATATGACGGAATCGATAGTAATATAAATTTATTGGAAATAAAAGCCATTTGCTTATCGTTAGATGAATACTAATTTGTACCTCAGGAAGTAAGCGGTACAATTCGGGATACTTCCATACTTGAACGCGTCAACTGTTATGTTCGTATCTGAAAATGATGAAAGTTAAAACACAAGTCATGAAAATGAATTATCCAATTCACTTAATTACCCTGTAATCTCTTGTACCACGGGCATTCTTTCTTCGAACTCGGTCTTACAAGGTCCTGGGTACTTTCATCTTTACAAGGAGTTTCATCCTTACATTGGATGTCATCATCATCAAGGATATTTTTTCCATTATCGTTATCACACGGAGTATTTGAATCACTTTTGTTATTAGAGTCAGCAATTTCCAATTTAAGAATGGTTGCTGGATCAGATGAATTCCAATATTTGGATGTTATTGCTTCATTTTCTAATTTTTCTTTTAGAGTACCTTTCATAAAATCAGGCTATTCAGCCAATTTAATTTTATTCAATTATTTTACATATGTAAAGTTTATTAGCTACCTTTTCTAATATTTGGGCTGCCGTTCGATTCCTTTTTACGACCAAAAAAATCAAATAGCGTCGTTGAACTAACGGTGTTACTCTTTTTTGAGAAATTGTTTGTTTTACGAGGCGAACCACCATTGTTACTAGCAGAATTTAACGTGTTTATTTTTGGCTGCTCTAATACCCGTCTTTGTAAAACGTTAGTTTTATTTGGAGAAGCCGGTAACGATGAAGCCTTATATTTTTTTCCTATATTTTTACTGACTATATTTGGGGATGCTCGTTTGACCGGAGTGCTTTTAGTTGTAAGCTCTGAAAGTCGTTCAATAGTTCTAGCATTCCAAATGTCTTTATCCGAATCTTTAAACATATTTTTTAAGTATAAAAGAAATCGTTTAATCATTCACAATTCATTTAGGATTTTTATTTTATAGATCTACAAATTCGATTATTAGTTCGCGTTTTTTATACTTTCGCGTATTACTGATAAACGTTACACAGTATTACACGGTATTACAACGTAACTAGCTCTCAAACCCGGGCGATGCTCCGGGGCTAGGTCTTAAGTGTTTTTAATCTCAAATTCAATAGTTTTTTAAATTTCAAAATATG